GTGAAGAGGACTTGAAGCTCTTACTGATGAAGATCAAAGACCACGGCCTTCAGTATGGATTACATCTCAACATAAAGGAAACAAAAATCCTCACAACTGGACCAACAGCAATATCATGATACACAGAGAAAAGGTTGAAGTTGTCAAGGATTTCATTTCACTTGGATCCACAATCAACACCCACAGAAGCAGCAGTCGGGAAATCAAATGATGTATTGCATTGCGCAAATCTGCTGCAAAAGACCTCTTTAAAGAGTTAAAAAACAAAGATGTCACTTTGAGGACCAAGGTGCGCCTGACCAAAGCCATGCAATTGCCTCATATGCATGCAAAAACTGGACAATGAATAAGAAAAACTGAATTGATGCCTTTGAATTGTGGTGCTGGTGAAGAATATTGAATATGCCATGGACTGCCAGAAGAACGAACAGTCTGTCTTGGAAGAAAATACAGCCAGAGTGCTCCTTGGAAGCGAGGATAGCGAGATTCCATCTCACATACTTTGGACATGTTGTCAGGAGTGACCATTCCCTGGAGAAGGACATCATGCTTGGTGAAGTAGAGGATCAGCAAAAAAGTGGAAGACCCTCGAAGAGATGAATTGACACAGTGGCTGCAACAGTGGGCTCAAACATAGCAACGATTATGAGGATGGCACAGGACTGGACAATGTTTCGTTCTGTGGTACATAGGGTCGCTATGAGTTGGAACTGACACCTAACAGCAACAGCCAAAGCCAAACACGCGTGCCCTGTGACCCAGCGGACATGCACACATGTACAAACCAGAAGACAGGTGTGAGAGCGTCCATCGTCCCTGCGTCACCATCGCCCCAGGTGCCCGCAGAGAATGAATTCTGAGTTGTGCTATATTCACAGGATGGAATAGTACATCATAATGAGAATGAACGCTCTGTAACTACGTTCAGCACCGATGAATCCCTCAGTCGTAACTCCGAGGGACGGAAGCCAGACGTCTAAGAGCGTATACGGTTCAGTTTCATTGATGTGAACGTGAACTCATCTGTGCTGTGAACAGTCAGTACAGTGGTTACCCTAGAGGTGGGGGGCACGGTGGGCACGAGGGACCTCTGGGGGGCTGCTGATGTTCTGCCTCCTGGTCTGTGTGATGGTCACAGAGGGGCACTCAGACTGAACGCACAGTGTTAAAAAAGTGCACACGTGTTCATGCCAATCAAAGCACGGGCGGGGGCAGGCCCAGGCAGTGAGGATTTAGTGGTTTCTGTAAACGCCTATCTGTCTGATCACCAAGCTCTGACACCTCTTGGGCTGTGACCTTCTGATGTCTTCGAGCTCTTTGCTGTCTGTCTCTCCATGGACTGGGGCCCATTGTCTCATTGCCCCCCCCCCCCCCCAGTGCAGGACCCGCAGGGTGCGTGTGGACGAGACTGGTTTTCTCTGCCCCACGTAACATGCGGCCCCGTTTTCCTGCCTAGGTGCCGACTTGCTGAAGATGTCCCGAGATGATCTGGTTCAGATCTGCGGCCCTGCCGATGGGATCCGGCTCTTCAACGCCATTAAAGGCAGGTGGGTGTCGGCTTCCTGGGGGAGCTGCTGGGGATAGCCGCCTGGCCCCACGTGGCAGGAAGCCCAGACCGCAGCCTCCTGGGCTTGAGGGAGCTGGCCACGCCGGGTGGGCTGGCTGGTCGATGGGCGCTCCCTAGGCTGGCTCCTTCCTGCAGCGTGGGGGCAGATGCAGGTGGAGGTGTGGTGAGGGGGTCGGGACCATTGCAGGGCAGTGAGACATTGACACGGGATGCAATGGGGTGCAGAAGATCCTGTCTTGAGGCCCCTTTCCTTCTCCACTGAACTGGAGCCTTCCCCACTGGGTTTGGATCTTGGCCCCTAAGTCATTCCCCCAAGCTCTCAGAGGCTTGTCTCAAAGCTGCCTGCTCCCTGAGGGAAGCCGTGGGCTGATGTGCTTACTCAGCCTCATGTAGGAGTTCCCAGTGTAGACGGAGACCACTTCCTGTGATGGTGGAAGGATTCCGTGGCCTCTCTGCCCAGTAGGGTACCCACTGACCGCACGTGGCTGTGGAATGCTGGAACTGAGGCCAATGTACCTGACAAACTGAGTTTTACGTTTCATTAATTAAAATTTTAATAGCCATGTATGTGGACAGTGCTGTTTCAGGGTGAGAGAGGCTGGATTTGAATCCTAGATCTGCTGCTTATTTCTGTGCTACTGGGTAAAGCCCTTAACCCCCGGGAGCCTCTGTCTCAGTTTCCTCATCTGTAAAGTGAGGGTGGTCCTGGCTCCGTCGCAGGCTGTGTGGGGCCCAAGTGGGTTACGCACGTAGAGTCCTAAAGGCCGTGCCTGGCAGAGAGTGAGCGGGGTGAGGGTTTGCTCTTATCCTGAGAGTCTCACCTTGACATTCAGCCTCTTAGTAGTTGCGGGATCTGGGAGGTGGGGGTGGTCTTGTGCAGCCCTGTGCCTCCAGGCAAGCTGTGTGAAACCATGTAGGTCCCCCTGGGTGGGATGTCCCTGCCCCACCTCCATGAATCGTGCTCCGTCTTCCTTCAGCTCTGAAGCAGCCTCCTTGGCTCCTCTGAGTCCCCCGCAACTGCTGTTTGCATGCTCTGTGCTGGGACAGCAGAGCCCTGTCCACCCACCTGCCCTTTCTTTCTTCTCTCGCCAGGAACGTGAGGCCCAAGATGACCATCTACGTCTGCCAGGAGCTGGAGCAGAACCGGGTCCCCCTGCAGCAGAAGCGGGATGGCGGTGGGGACAGCAGCCTCTGTGGTGGGTTACTGGGGAGCTTCTCCACCACGGGGCCGGGTAGCAGGGGTGGACTGACAGGAAATGTAGCCACAATCAAGCAGTTCTCTCCCTGAGAACGTCTTCCTGACTGGCCTCGTTCTGGCTTCATGTATGACGGGTTTTGGTTAAACCTAACTGTGGAATTGAAATGTTAGAACGGGAGGCCTCTCCCAGAATATCGGTCCAGCCTCCTGTCTTACACCTGAGGCCCCGAGAGGGGATGTGTCCTGCCCCCCCCACCCCGCCCCAAGGCCATTTAGCTACTCAGCGGCAGAGTTGGGAGCTGGGCCTTGTCTCCTGTTGCTCAGAGTACAGAGGGCTGGTGACCAGTGACTTACAGTTGCTCTCCTCCTTGCTTCACCTGAGTGATTCCACCTGTGGTTCTCCTCAGCCGTCTGGAATCTCCCCCTTAGTTGCTGCTCAGGGCTTGAGGAGCCAGCTGAAGGGTTCTGGAGTACCTCAGGAGTACACAACTTTTTGGGGTTGCCAGTGTTTAGGCTGCCTAATGACGGAGAGGATGTAAGCTTGGGGGTCAGCCATATCTGGATACCTGTGTTGGCCACGCCACCTGCTAGCCATGTAACTTCCGGCTGGGTACCAAGGCCTCTGCCTCCCCTTCCACGGGTGTAGAATGAAGATAACGCTACCTACCTCCTGGAGGTGTGGGGTTTAAATGAGATGGCGTGTATAAAGCTCTTTGCTTGTGAGTCCCGCGGGTCTGATGGGCTGGCCTGTCTCAACACCCGAGTGTCCAGGCATGTTGTGTACGGAGAGAGAGAGAACCCGCCCTGCCTGCCTATTCTCTGCAATGGAGGACCCCCTAGATTAATCAGAACAGCCACCTCTTCTTGAGCAAAATCACTGCCCTAAGGGTTTTCCATGAGTGCACTAACTTGCTCCTCACAGCGCCCTGGGACATACGCATGCTGTTATCTTTGTTTTCCTGTGGGGGAAAATGAGGCACCGAGTGGTTGGCTGGCCCAAGGTCACAGCGTTGTAAGTGGCAGAGCCAAGATCCAAACATTCAGACCTCGGCACCGGGCTTCAGAGCCCCACCTGACCCCTGCCCATCTCTAGGGAATGTCCACATCCTGTCTTCTCCTCTCCGACAGTGAGCCTGTGAGGGCAAGGCTCAGTCCCCTGCGGAGAGGGCGGCCCAGTACTTGCTCCTGCTCCGGGCAGTCCTCCGTGCCCACCGCATGATTTAACCTTGCGGCATCGCTGAGTGGGCAGTGCCTCCGCCGCACACCTAGGGCTCCAGGAGTTGGACAGATTGTCCAGGGTATTGTGTCCGGGGTCGGGGGCAGAATCAGGATCTGAGCCCAGGCTTGTTGGCTCTGGAGCTTGTGAGTTTGTAGCCTGCTCTGAGCACCTCAGGGAGGCCAGGTTCACCTGGGGGCAGGAAAGGTCAGAGGTGAAAGGCCACACCAGTGCCAGCCTCTGGGATTCTTTTCACCAGCAGCCCTGTTTTAGAGTCAAGTCAGAAAAAGCGGAAGTGGTTCTGAAAAGTTGAAAGAGAAAAAAGGAAGTACAATTAGGATTCCGTTGTAGAAGGGAGTCATATTAAAGAGGCCTGGGATTCTTACCTGGTGTTAGGATTGGAAGGAACACTATGCAGTAACCCTATTCTTTGAACAAAAATCTAACCGTGGGTCAGTCTGTTTGAAATCCTGGAAAATCGAGTCTGTTGTGTGGCTCTAACCTCGGGGCCACTTTATTTTTAAAATATTGGATGTCTGATGAGATGTTTTGAACCAAGTGTTTCTTAGTTGGGGGAGAAGTTGGGAGACTTCTAATTTAACCTAGCTGTGTTTGACTTTTGGGAACTTGAGTCTCCCCCCAAATTGTGTTATCCCCCCCAGGCCGCCCGGGGAGCTTGCTGGTACCCTGCTGGTTTGGTTTAGTACGAGAAAGTCTCCTTACCTTGTGACTTGTTGACGGTGCACACACTCCTGGTGTCCCCTGCCCCCTTCCCCCATTCCTTTGCGGTCACTGGGCCTGAGCCAGTGGAGTACCGCCTGTGTGGTGGGGGAGGGACAGGGGGACTGCTGGTCCTTTCTTCTCTGTCAGGTAGCCGTTACCTTCCACTTTCACTCTGGGCCACCTGAGGCCATCACTCACCCCTTTCCCCACCGGAAAATATCCCGAGGCATGGGAGTTCCTTCCTCCCCGCGGTGAGCTGCAAATCCAGCTGCACCCCAGAATCACCGGAAACTTGTTACAAACACAGATTTCTGCCTCCAGCCCCACCGGCAGATGTGTGTCAGTGGGCCTGGGGTGGGTCCAGGCATCCCTACATTTTACTGAGAGCTCCAGGAGAGACTGAAGCAGACCTAAGAACCACAGCCCAGTGTCTTTTCACTGTGGGTGGCCACCTGGGGCCTGACACCAGCACCCGCAGCTGTGGGACTTCTGGGCAGGCGCCCCGGGCAGCCAGGTTCCACATAGCATCCTTTCAAATGAGTATTGATTTCTCGGGTGGGGATGGGGGCAGGCCAGCTCATGCTGATTTAAATGACTGCAAAACCAGGCTCTTGGTCTTTAGAAAGCACCTTTTCCTCCCTCCCTCCCTCCCCAGTGTACCATGCCATCTTTTTGGAGGAGCTGACTGCCTTGGAGTTGATCGAGAAGATTGCCAATCTGTACAGCATCTCCCCCCAGCACATCCACCGAGTGTACCGGCAGGGACCCACGGGCATCCACGTGGTGGTAAACAACGAGGTGAGGGTCGTCGTCCACCCGCTCCTGAAAGGCTGGGCTCTGGACTTGGAGAGGAGAAGCCGAGCCCGGGATACACCCAGTGGGGTCAGGATGACTTCACAGAGATACAGCAGTGGGCTTCGTCTGCACAGCCCCTGCTCTCCTCAGTTGGTAGTGGCTGCCGGGAGGGCTGGAGGGGAGGGTTCTGCAAGCACATCTGGGCTCTGAGTAGTTGGGGAGCACCTGTTCTTCACCCCACCTGGGATAGGTGCTACGGAGAACCAGGAGCACAAACTCTGTCTGCCCCCCAGAAGCTATAGAAGGGAGGGGAGGCCCCGCACACCGGGCCAGGCAGCAGCCCCAGGCGGGCCTTCACGGGGAGGGGAAGTGCTCTGCGTGTTGTATAACATAGAAGACGTGGCTAACAGGAGAGATGAAGGTGCCACCGCCTTCCTGTCCGTCCCGGGCACCACAGACATGTGCAGGGCCAAGTAGCCGTTGACAGAAGGGCCCCAGAATTGAGGAGGACCTAGTGGAACTGTGCCCCTGAGTGATCTGACCACCCTCCTGGCTGAGGCTGTTGAACAGGTTTGTGGCCAGTTCAGGTGTCCTGGCATGTTTAGAGAGAGGCTGTAATAGCTTGTTTGACCCTGGCCCCCTTCCTCCTAATAACAGAGGAGTGCCAGCGTTTATTGAGTGCTGCCTGTGTTCCGGCTACTGTTCTGAGAGCACTCTTCCTGGCTCATTTAGCGCCGAGAGCCCCCCTGTGAGCTGGGTGCTGGCACTGCTCCTTGCACACGTGCACGGAGGCCGAGGCATTGCCCAGGTGGGGCCCAGGCAGGCCAGCTGCAGAGCTAGAGCCGCCAGGATCGCCACCCTCTCCTCAGATGGAGCTTTTAAACCTGCAACCTCTGTGTAGAGGATTCTAGGAGGGCAGGGGTGGCTCAGTGATAGAATTTTCGCTTTCCGTGTGGGAGACCAAGGTTCGATTCTCAACCGTGCACTTCGTGCGCAGCCACCACCGATCAGTCAGCAGAGGCTTGCGTGCTGCTATGTTCCTGGACAGGTTTTGGCAGAGCTTCCAGACTAAGACAAAGTAGAAAGAAAGGCCTGGTTGTCTACTCCCGAAAATCAGCCAGAGAAACCTGGTGGGTCACAAGGGTTCGATCCTGTTGTACGTGAACCGCTAACAAGAGGATTACAGAGGAGGCTGGGTACAAGAATAGTGGCTGAGAAAAAGAAAGGAAATGTGGACTTTGGAATTGGACTGGTCCCTCCATCTCCTAGTAGCTGAGTGACTTTGGGCAAATTACTTAACCTCTCTGAGCCTCAGTTTCCGCGTAAGATAGGGTCGTAGTAAGGATAAATGAGAAAACGCTGTCAGGCACCAGCAGATGCTGAATAATTGATGGACTCCCTGGGTGCAAACAGTTAATGTGCCTGGCTGCTAACTGAAAGGCTGGAGGTTCGAATCCACCCAGAGGCACCTGGCGGTCTACTTCCGAGTAATCAGTCGTTGAAAACCCTGTTCTGCTCTGACACACACGGGGCAGCCATGAGTTGAACTTGTCTCAATGGTAAGTGATTTCTTGTAATTGCCAGTGTTCATGCTGGATGCTTGTTATTCTGGGAACATGTGGGGGGCAGATCTTTTTAGATTAGACGTGTTCACAATGTCAGGCTTTTAATGGTCTGGGTATTTCACAAATTGTCATTATTAGTAATAATCCACTTATAATTCCAGTTGTCGTCAACCCCTTTAAGGTTTTTCGTTTCACAGGAGTTTCATTTCAGTCTTGGAGGTTGGCAAGGTGGTTTTTTCCTTCCTTTTTAGTTAAAAAGTAATTTACAATTAGTATAAGAAGGAAAGCAATATGGAATAGCAGAGAGCAGAGGTGAAAGGCCCTTTTCCTTCACCACTGTCTCTTCCTAGATGAGCTTCCTTCAGGTGTGACGTGTGTCCCGCCAGCTGATGTGTGTTCTGTGTGTGGGTGTGCGTGTAGGTGTGGGTTCTGTGGGTTTTTAAGACACACAGTGAAGATCAGGCTCTGTATTTATCTGCAACTTGCTGTTTTTGTCACCAGATCAGAATTCCTTCCATACTATTACATTCAAATCTAATGCAGATATTATTATTATTTTACCCCCATTTTACAGATAAGGAAAATGAAGCCCTGAACCGAGTGCTTATCTTAGTGAATAACCGGGACGGTTAAAGCACCCAGTGGGCAGCTGCAGTGGCAGGAGAGGCTTGTCACTGTGCGTTTAAGGATGCATTTCTTGCTGTGAAGATGAAACCTAAGAATGGGTAGAACCCTTGTGTTTTCAGCGTCCCTGAGGGAGTTCCTGCCGGCTTGCCCGTGCCCTGAAGTATGGGCAGTTAAGCAAGTGAAGCAGAGAACAGAACTCTAATGTCACCTCGGCTTAAACAGGCGATTCCTATTCCCCAAAGTCTCCTTGCCTCCTAACCCCGAATCAATTGGAAACCTTTCGTTCTTAATTGCCCGGAGCGCTGGAGGCAGCCTGGCCGGCTGCGCAGCCAGCTCCCGGGGTGCAAGGGCACTTAATTAAACAAGGGAGTTACTGATTAAGCCCGTGTGGGCTGTGCTTAGGGCTTTGCATGCCCAAGTGGCTAGTCAGGCAGGAGTCCTGGAGGGAGCGGGCCAGCAGCACAGAATAAACGTACTGCATGCATCGTTAGGCCCCTCAGGGAGGGCCAGGGTCCACAGGTGGCGGGGGGAGGGGGCACGGCAGCAATAATCCAGAGCAGACAATACAATTTTGTTGCATTTATTAATTTGGAAACAGGTTTTGCTGTCATTGTAGTTTGTGGGATATATGTTTCTGTGTATATTTTTAATCTTTAAGTTTGTATTGTAAAACATAGCATACATGTGCTAAAGAGTATATAAAGCTTATTTGTGTATTCTAAAGGATAATTAAAATACCTGTGTACCTGCGTCAAGTTAAGAAATAGAATTTATCCGTTCCTTTAGAAGCCCCTTTGTGGCTATTTCATATTGCATCCCTCCACCCCCAGGTAACCTGCCAGCCTGAACTTTGTGTTCATCATTCCCTGTTCTTCCTGGTCATCTTAACTCGTGTATATAAATTTACACCCCCACCACTGTGGCTCTGCATCCTTAGCAGCATTGGTATCGGCTGATTGAAAAGTTTTGCCAGTAACATTTTTATAATAGAAACAGTCCCATTTAACAGATAGGGCCATGGAGGAACTAAAAAAGATGACTTGTCCAAGGTCCCTGGGTGGTTAATGAAATTAGAACTTCAAAGAGGTGGCTCAGGAGTAGCCCTGAGATTTCTGCCACATTTGCAGACCCAGGAGTAACACTCTCTGTTTCTGTTTGGTCCTCTTCGCCTCTGATATGCAGATCCTATTAATTACCAGGAGCCCTGGTGGCACAGCAGTTAAGAGCTCGCCTGCTAACCAAAAGGCTGGCTGTTCAAATCCATCAGCCACTCCTTGGAAACCCTATGGGGCAGTTCTTCTGTGTCCCATAGGGTTGGTATGAGTTGGAATCGATTCGACGGCAATGGGTTATTGGTTACTAATTACCAAAAGTGTCTTTTTTTTTATTTAACATTCTAGTATTTTATCTTGCTGTTATATACATGGGACCCTGATGGCACAGTGGGTAAGAGCTCGGCTGCTAACCAAAAGGTTGACAGTTCAAATCCACCAGCTGCAACTTGGAAACCCTATGGGGCAGTTCTGCTCTGTCCCATAGGGTCTCTATGAGTTGGAATCAACTTGACAACAAGTTTTGGTTTGGTTTATTATACACATACGCATTCCCATAATGTTCATTACAGGAATTGACAGACACACAGTATAATTAGAAAAAGTAAAAGGAGAACAGAAACAAGCAAACAACATACCCGTCGTCCATTAAAAAAAAAAAGTTTCCATTGACTTGATTCTGTCATGGCGTCCCCATGTGTCAGAATAGCATTGTTCTCCATAGGGTTTTCAACGGCTGATTTTTCAGAAGAAGATCATCAGTTCTTTCTTCCAAGGCACCTCTGGGTGGTGCAAACAGTTAATGCCCTCAGCTACTAACCAAAAGTTTGGGTTCACCCAGAGGCGCCTTGGAAGAAAGACCTGACAGTCTACTTCCAGAAAGTCAGCCGTGGAAAACGCCGTGGAGCACAGTTCTACTGTGGCACACACGGGGTCGCCATGAGTCAGAGCTGACTCAGGGAAACTGGGAGGAGGACCACCATCCGTAGCCCCATATTAAATGGTACATCTTGATTCCCTTCCAGGCTTGTTGCAACTTGAAGTTGTGGCCCTCTTGTGGTACTCTTGTTATTTGTATCGTCCTTTTCTCAGTGAATGATACAGCATGATCCTATTTGGTGTGAACACTGGGACAGTGTCCCTTCTGATGGCTGTGTCATACTCAGCCAGTGACTTTTCCTGTTGTGGACTCCTTGTTGAGGGCACGTGTTCTCTCTCTCTCTTGCCCTTTAGATGGTGCAGAACTTCCAAGACGAATCGTGTTTTATCCTCAGCACAGTAAAAGGTAAAGATCGCTGCCTTCTGTTTTCTCCTTCTCCTTTCATTGAAGTCGGTTGGCTGTGTCGCTCAGAGTGGAGGAAGGAGGGCAGAGTCAGATGGGGAGGTGGGCCTGCCTGCCCACCCGCGTGGTGGCGCCCCAGAGAATGCTCACCTGGGAACATCCCCCGGGAAAAGGCAACACGAACTTCCTGTGAAACCTAGCCCCAGAAACGTTAGAACTTCGTGAAATTAGCCCCAAAGAGAAGTCCTGGGCCAGGCAGTGCGTTCCCTGTGAATTTGCTTAGGGCTGTGGAGAAGTACGATGCGCTTGAGTTCTTTGAAAATGAGGGTCTCCTGGGAGACCAAAGGTGGGTACGACAGCTGAGTCTGGAGTCAGAGCAGGTAGGGACTCTCTCCTGCTGAAGGCATAAGAGGAGCGTCAGCATGTTTGTGTGCTCCTGAAGGAGGGACTTGCGTGGCAGAAGCGCGTTCATTCAGAGGAGGGAGAGAAAGGAAGGGCTGGTGGTGGCCTTCCCTGGGGCCGGGAGGGTGGGCGCATGGGGCGTGATCTCATGTCTTCCTTGACTCCCAAATGCCGTGACACAGCTCCTCTCTTCCCGCCAAGTGCCCAGTGTTTCTCTCTTGCAGCCGAGAGCAATGACGGCTACCACATCATCCTCAAATGTGGACTCTGAGCAGAAGTGGGGTGTACACCTCCTCTGACTCCCAGCCCCACAGACCCCCTGGATGTAGAAGTCACACCACTGTTGACGGCGGCTTGCCTGGCTGGGGGTGGCGAGGAGGGACCTTGCACATCCCCTGACAACTGCAGATCATCAGCCAGCAGAAACCCACGGACGCACAGTCTCTGGTCTATAGAAAGCTGAAGGCTCCTCTCTCTTCCTCCTGGCCTTCAGCTTTTGAACCGTTCCTTGTTCTTTTTCCCAACCCTGATATTCCAAAGAGGCAACCCGTGGGGGTGTGCTCTCTGCAACCCCTTCCCCCCAGTCGATGGCTGGGTCATTGACGTCTGGGTGCCGTTTGTGTTACTTCCTTCCGACCCCTCTGCTGCCTCCAGAGAAAGCTCGGCCTCAGCCCTGTGCCTTCAGCTTCTTCTCTGGTAAGGGGTTCCATGCCCAGGCCTGGTAACTGGGATGTGGTGGGTGGTCTGCCACCCTTCTCCCCTCATCCTGTTTGTTTCCCTTCTCGGTGACCTGGTGAGCATCCGTCTCGCCTGGATTTTTGGTAAGGGGCTTACTTCTGTGCCGTCTGTTTTCACCTTTACCTCGTTCCTAAGGCTCTGCCGCTGTAAAGACCAGATATGGGCTCATGTCCCTGCATTGGTGTCGTAGTCCCCAGAAAGTGCATGTGGGACCACATAGATGGCAGGGAGAGAAGGACTTGTTTTCAGGTACACTCTCATGAATAGCAAAGGGATGAGAACAAAATGGGTCCCCTTGAGCTACTTGGGTATAATTTGTTTTCTAAGTAAGGAGTAATAGGAAATGAGCATTCCATTGCATCGTCAGATGACCTTGACCTTCATAATACCAGATCATCTTGGATGGATTTACAAAATCCCACTTGGAGAAGACGTTGGTTTATTTGCCAAGTTTCCTAGGGACATCGTATTCCCCCCCACGCCCTCCCTCCCAATTCAAATGTTTTTTTTTTTCATTTGTAGGACATAGTTGGATTTCCTTTCTTCATGGCCTAGCTACAGGGCAATTCGAATATCAGGGAGTGTGGTAGACTCCGAAATCAGTCGTTGTCTTGCCCCTGGTTCCTGGGATCCAGTGATCTGTGCTGGCCCAAAGCTTTGGCTCTTTGCTAATTTAGGTTCATCTGCCAAAGGGCGGTGAACCCTATGACCATCTGAGCAGTTTCTTACAGCTTCTAAAGTGGAGCTTTTGGGACATAGAGCGCTAGGATCAAAGGTGATCAGAACTGAGTGGACTTTGTATTCCAGAGGGGCAAAGCACCTGCCTGACATCACAGTGATGGGGTAATGTCATAGGGTGACAGGGTGATAGCGTGCTCTTACAAGCCAGGATGCTTCTGAAAGCAAAAGGAGGCTCTGTTAATAATTATGTTGGGACAACAAGTGTGGTATTCCTACCGAGTGAGGGTAGGCCTCTGATTCTTTTTCTGTTTGGTGGGGAGTGGGTAACAGCTTTATTGAAATATAATTCACATACCATACAATTCACTCATTTAAAGTGTACAATTCTATAGTTTTCATAGTATATTCACAGAGTTGTGCAGCCATCACCACAATCAATTTTAGAACATTTCCATCAGCCCCCAAAGAAACCCTGTACCCTTTAGCGGTCACCTCCCCTCCACTCTCCTAAGTCCCTTAGTTGTAAGCAACCATGAGTCTGCTTTCTGTCTCTTTGGTTTTGCCTGTTCTGGACCTTTCATAGAAATGGATTCGTATCTGTGGCCTTTTGTGATTGGCTTCTTTCACTCAGCGTATTTTCAAGGTCCATTCATGTTGTAGCATGTATCAGTACTTTCTATACCACATTTTGTTTATCCGTTCATCCACTGATGGACATTTGGGTTGTTTCCACTTTTTGGCTGTTATGAATAATGCTGCGATGAATATTTGAGTACAAGGTTTTGTGTGGACATAGGCTTTCATTCCTCCTGAGAATATACCTAGGAGCTGAAATGCTGGATCATATGGTAACTTTCTGGGCAGTCACCAAACTCTCTTCCAAAGTGGCTGTACCATTTTACATTCCCACCAGCAGTGTACGAGGGTTCCAGTTTCTCCACATCCTCACCAACACTTACTGTGTGTCTTTTTGATTATCCTAGTGAGTGAAGTGGTTTTGCTTTGCGTTTCCCTGATGGTTAATGATGTTGGGCATCTTTTCATGGGCTAATTGACCTATTTGCAGTCGGGTTATTCGTCTTTTTCTTTTTCGTTTGTATGAGTTATACGTTTTATATATAAGCCCTTTATCAGATATATAATTTACAAAAATGTTCCTCCTTTTCTTTGGGTTATCTTTTCGCTGTCTTGATAGTGTGCTTTGGAGCATGAAAGTTTCTAGTTTTGGTGCTGTCCGATTTATTTTTTCTTTTGTTGCTGTGCTTTTGGTGTCATATCTGAGAAACTATTGCCTCATATTTACTCCTATGTTTTCTTTTAAGAGTTTTATAGTTTTAGCTCTTACATTTAAGTCTTTGATCCCTTTTGAGTTTATTTTTGTATATGGTGTGAGGTACAGGACGGACTTCAATCTTTTGCATGTGGAAATTCAGCTGTCCCAGCACCATTTGTTGAAAAGACTATTTCTCCATTGGATGGATTGGCATCCTTGTTAAAGTCCACTGGTTCTCACAGAGACTTTTTTTCTGGGACACAGTGCTGTCGTTGGGAAGCTCAGCTTCTTACTCAGTCCATGCTTGGCTCCAGCATTCTTACAACTGGCTTTCTGTTTTATTTCTTGCTGTCTGTCTCCTTTGCCTGTGTGAACAGTCTTTCTTGGTGCACCGGTTCAGCTCCACGTACCCATCCTAAAGAAGGTCAGGACCAATCATTTCCTTTGTTGAATGATGAAGAAGCTGAGTCATAGAGAAATGGACTAACGTGCTCAAGGCTACGTAGCCCGTTACTGGCAGCACCCGGACTAGAACCTTGGTCCTTTTGCTTCCAGTCCCTCAAGAAGGAATCTATAGTCACTATATGCCTTAGTTATCTAGTGCTGCTATAACAGAAATACTACAAGTGGATGGCTTTAACAAAGAGAAATTTATTCTCTCACAATCTAGGAAGCCTGAAGTCCAAATTCAGGGCACCAGTTCCAGGGGAAGGTTTTCTGTCTCTGTCAGCTCTGGGGGAAGTTCCTTGTTATCAGTCTTCCCCTGGACTAGGAGCTTCTCAGGTGCAGGGACCCCGGCAGGTCCAAAGGATGCACTTTGCTCCCAGTGCTGCTTTCTCAGTGGTATGAGATCCCCATGTCTCTCTGCTCACTTCCGTTTTACATCCCAAAAGAGATTGGCTCAAGACACAATCGAATCTTGTAGATTGAGTCCCACCTCATTAACATAACTGCCACTAATCCTATCTCATTAACATCATAGAGGATTTACAACACACAGGAAAATCACATCAGATGACAGAATGGTGGACAATCACACAATACTAGGAATCATGGCCCAGCCAAACTGACATGCACATTTTTGGGGAACACAATTCAATCTATGACTTTCTACCCTTTGGCCCCCAAAACTTCCTGTCCCTGCCACAGGTAAAACACATTCATCCCGTCATATCATAGCAAAAGTCTTAAATCAACTCCAAGTCCAAAATTCAAAAATGCTTCTTCATCTGTGAAATCCAGAATACAAATTATTCTGCTTCCAAATGTACAATGTTGCAACAAGCAGTCACAAGGTAGACTTTCCATTACAGATGAGAGAGATTGGAGGGAAAGAAGAGATAACAAGCACCAAGCAAGTCAGCAGAACACATTACATTAGCCCTCAAGGCTTGAAAATAATCCTCTGTTCTCTGAGACCATTTAGACAATGGCCCTGCCCTCCAGACTCTGGGTGTTGGCCAAGCTCTCTGAATTCTGAGTGAAGGCCCCTCGGCCCTGGGCTTCAGCTCCACCTTCCAGGCCCGCTGGAAAGGCAACCCTGCTCCCTCGGCTTTGGGCAGCCCCATTTTTCTAGTCCATCTGAGTGGTGACTCCACCGTTTGAGGCTCCAGAAGTCATGGCCCTACTATTTGAGACTGAGGCAGCTCTGCTTCCTGTGTTCCTTGTCTCTTCAGCTTCTGCTTCCTGGTTCTTTGGCCTCTTGGCCCTCGGGCCTCATAGCTGACGTCTGCCCTCCTGGGGCAAGTGTTCCAAAGCTCTTCAGCTCTACCGATAAGTGCCTGGAGACACCCCACTCTACCAGTAAACCTTGGCCGGAAGGTACTCAGCTCTCTTGCTCTGTAGGTCGGCAAGCCTGATAAGTGCTCAGAGGCACCCCACTCCACCAGGAAGTCTTCTGTGCACAGGCACTCAGCTCTGGCTCCGTGGGTCAGCTCCAGTGGCATCTCGCACTGGTCTCCTGGTTCTGCTGCTGCCACTTCTCTGTTGTTCCTGCTTCTCTGCTGCTGCCGTTTCTCACCATCTGTGCCATCTCTGGTATAACAGCCCTCCTCACTTCCTTCTGAGTCCTCACCAGAATTCTCTTTGATGTCCATAATTCCACCAACAGTCTCTTCAAGGCAATCTAGGTTCTTACCATTAGGCATTTAAAAGCTCTTCCAGCCTCTATCCATTCACAGTTTCAAAACTGCTTCCACATTTTAGGTATCTGTTAGAGCAGCACCCCACTCCCGGTACCAAATTCTTAGTTATCTAGTGCTGCTATAAAAGAAATACCACTATACCTAAGTGATACCACTATCCAGGCCAAATAATGACAGGCTAAATTTTCTTAGTTCAAAGAAATGCAGTAGGTTAACTTCTTTTATTTCTTAATTCTGAAGCAGAGTCTAATAAAGGTCTGGTGCCTTAGCTTTCTGTTAGTGGAACCTTCCATTCTCTGACGCAACCCAGTGGAGTCGTCTCTTCTCACCATTTCCTGGTGGCTGTAGTGAAAGCTTGTGGCGTGATTCCTTTGGTAGAAATATGCTTCCTGGTCCCGTTACAAAGAAGTAGAACATATGTGTTAATTTGGTACC